CCGGCTCCCCCCCCCGCCCGGCCTCCCCCCCCCCCCCCCCTTTCCCTCGCCCCCAAGGCCCCCCCCCCCCGTGCTTTGTTTGTCCTCTTGCTGTTATTGATTGGGGCCTGCAGTTTGTCAGCCGAGGTCCTTGTCCCAATCAGCCGGGATAAACGGCTCTCCACTCTGGGCCTGATGCTGATTGAAGGAGCTGCCAGCGCCTCCGAATTAGCCGGCGCAATTTTCTTCTGCCAGCGGCTTCCGGTGGCTCCCCCCAAGGGACGATGGCACTGGGTCTCCTTTTTTCCCCCCAAAGGTGACTGGATTTCTTTGGGTTTTGCTTTGTTTCCCCCCCCCCCCTTGCAAATGTTTTGCCTCTCACCCGAGAAGAACCGAGGAAGCTTCTTGGCTGAGAAGTGAAACGTTTTCAAGAGGAGAAAGAACACCCCCCCCCAAAACCAGCATCCCAGTTGCCCTCTGGAGAAGTGACTTTGGGGCAGCCAAGGCCGGTGGGGGGGAGTGGATGGAGAGCCTCTGCCCCTGGAGGACTTGCCTCGTCTCCTTTCCCTTCCAGCCACTCCCTCTTCTGAAGCAGAAGGCCAGCCACTCGGTCACCCTGTCCCAGGAGCAGGTGGCCAGCCTGCTAGCCAACGCCTTCTTCTGCACCTTCCCTCGGCGCAACGCCCGGGTGAAGTCGGAGTACTCCAGCTACCCGGACATCAACTTCAACAGGTAGAGCCCGGCTCCCCTCGGGAAACGCCCCTCCGGGACCCTCCGCCTCAAGCGGCTTCCCCGCTTGCTCACGGGGGGGGGGGGGGGGGGGGCTGGACTTCACCAGAGCGCCCGTTCAGCAGCTCTGCAGAGTTACAACGGGAGGGGGGTTGGGGGTGAGGAGAGAGCGAGGCCTAAGGGTGCTTCTCGCCCTGGGCGCCGTTGCATCAACCCCCAGGGCCAGGCGATCAGAATCCCCCCCCCCCCCGCTTGGCAACTGGCACGGACTTACGACGGTTGCGGCCTTCTGGGCCTACACCATCATCCCCTTTGGTGACCTTCTGACAATGGAAAAGCTGGATTCACTTTAACAGCCGTGTTACTGACATAACAATGATGGCAGGGAAGGGGGCCAAACCTGACTTAACCACTATCTTGCTTAGCAACGGAAATGGTGGGTTCCCTTGTGGTCGTCAGTCGAGGACCGCCTGTGCTGGGGCTGAAGTTCAGGACGCAGCAGGAGTTCCATTCGTACCTGAGTGGCCTTTTCCCATGAGGCCCTTTCTCTGTGTGGCCCTGGTGCTGCCCGTCCCCAGGAGGCCAACGGGAGCCCCCCCCCCCCCCCGGGGCATTTCTGAAGGGGTGGGAATACCCTGGATCCAGAGGGCCCCTTGTGCGGATTGCCTAGCTTTCTGCAACCCAGTTACTCACTTTTCTTTTTTTAACATCTGTATTCTTGGTTGAAATTATATTCTGCCTCAGGAATAGTTGAACTTGTCTTGAGAATACGGCCTTCTAAATCAATTCATTTACCTGAGCCAGCCATTGAATTGCTAATCTTATTCCAAACAAACAAACCAAAAAGAACAAATTTAATGTACGCTTGTCCCAAAGGGGCTTGTTTTCAAGAGGCAACTGGACTTTCTTTCTTTTGCTTTGAAGGCATTTCGCTTCTCCTCCAAGAAGCTCCTTTGGTTCTGAGTGGATGGTGGGGAACTGAAGAAGCTTTTTGGAGAAGCGAAACGCCTTCAAAGAAAAAAAAAACAAAAGAAAGTCCAGTTGGCACTGGAAAAGGGAAAACCACGACCCTCTTGGGTGACTTGAGAGTCTCCATAGGCATTTAATGTCCGCTCTGCTTGGGAAGCTTAAACCTTTCACATTTGTTTGTTTTTTACTTTGAGGCCCAGTTGTTTTTAAAAATAACCTTTTAAATCGATGGTATAAGAGTCATTTTAGGCAATAAAATGGCAACTTCGAATGGCGTAAAGAGCGATCGCTCTGATGATCAGGGCTGCCCCTCCGTCTGATCCAAAGGAGAGACCTGGCCAAGAAAGGGTCCCGAGGATGACCTGTTTTGTTTGCCTAAGGCGCCCGGCTTCTGCCCTCCTTGTTACGGACTCTTGACACCAACTGATCAGAAGGGGTTTTTTTGGGGGGGGGGGGGGGTGTTTGCTGTTTTTGTTTTAAATGTACGTTCTTAGTCCTGAATTTTACATAGCAGAGCTTGGATTACTTTGACTTCCTCTCCTCTATAGCTCCTAGATAGCCAGGCAGGGGTTTGGGGATATTTAGTGGGTTTGTGGTTCTCCGAAATTTCTCTTGGATCGAGAATCCCGCAGCATTTTAAAGTAAAGGGCAACGTTTGGGGGGTTTTGAGAGGGTGCTAAAGCAGCCGCCCTCTGTGAGTCTTGGGCATTCGCAAAGCAACAATCGCGAAACATGCCAAAAACACAAATCGGGGGGCCCCTTGATGAACAGGTGACATTAGCCCCCTAGGATGCATAACGAATAGTTCTGCGAAGCTAAGATTGTGGACACTCGGAAGAAAGACCTTACAAGGCAGACCAAAAACACACAACGCAGACTGGGTGCAGCCTTAGGCAACACACAAGGCGAATCCAAGAGATGTCCCCTATCCTCCCTCCCTCTCACTCATTGCTTATAAAAATGAAATCCTCTTTTGAAGAAGAATCTTGGCTCAGCGTAGTCCCAGAGCCCCTGGCTTCTCAGTTCCATAAAGAACACGGTGTTCGTATTTGAGAAACGAGGGACAGCTCTAAATAAAAAAATATTATGCAGGGAGGAATCTTAGTTTGTAGCGTGATTAAAGCTAGAAGCCGAAGCTGTGGTGAGCCCTGTCCTCTCCTGAATGCCAGCAAAGAAAACTTGTGAACTTTAAAAACAAAAAAAAATCAAGGCAAGGATAAAGTATGCTAGTTAAGGTACATGTAACTGCGTGAAATAGTCTTAAGCAAGGAAATGATTCTGCTGCATGTTATCTTTATCCAGGGGAGTGGAAATCTGATTTTGCAGTAATGCAATTTTCTTTTACCATAAGCATCAATTGGATAATTTTAATGACCATCCATTTTTTCCTCTATTTGAGCTAACCCACTTAGGGAAGAGAGCCATATCATATGTATGAAAACTACCTCTGGTCACCTCCTGCACATGAATTCGTTTCCAACACCTGAATATTTTCTGGAAGCAGAACGAAGTTGATTTAAAAAAAAAACTAGCTTGTTTATGAATTCTATATATTATTTCCCCCATGGAAAATTTAAAAACACAACAACATTTCTTTGTTGAGCAGTTCAGAGATCAACAATACTTTGGGGTACGTTTGGGACTGAGAAAGTGTCAGCCCCCTCCTTCAGATTGTGTCCATAAGGCGTTTTACACAGCTGTCATAATCACCCATCCATCCTTTTTAAAAACACTGTAAAAATATCGATTCTCGCCACCTTTATAGAGATGGAAAATCTTCATAAATATTCAAGCCACAAAACTAAATTGGCTTTTTGAGGGATGGTGGAAGGCAAGTAGTTTTAGGGGAAATTGAAATATATCCAGTATTCATTTTTGGACCAAACATTGCTAATATAAGATGGTACAACGTAGACTTTGTTTGACTTGCACCTTAATTGCCTTTGATGCATTTAAGTAGGATTTAGTCAGAGACTCCATTTGATCATTCAACTGGTATAAATATGGCTTTAAAAGTTTTAATTTCACCTTCTTTTGTGCTTCGTCAGCCAAGGGAGGTCTTGCCCAGCAGGTCCACTGACCTCTCAATAGACACTCAACGACACACAGGCCTATAAACAAATGCCGCACTGATTCACGGGGAGAAAAGATTGAGGCCCATCCCAAGAAGCTTCGGGCAATCTCGAAATGTTGGCTAAAAGCCTTCCTGCTAGAAATGAATAAAACATATGGGGGTTAAATATAGCAATGTATGTAAGACCTTGACTAAACTATATTTATTTTCAAATTGAAAATCCTTCCTTCCTTCCCATCCTCCTTTTCTTTTTTCTTCTATTTACAAAAGTTTTTAATGTTTCCACTTTCTATAGGGGGGAAAAAAGAGCCAGGAAAAATAATATATGTTGGATAGATACCATAGAGGATAGGAACGTGTGATTTTGTCACAAGTGCACAAAAGAATTCACCTTGAGATCAAGTAGTTGATTTTTTTTTTTTTTGGGGGGGGGGGGGGGGGGGGGGGGGGGGGGTAGAGTTGATGTTACACTTGATATTTGGTTGACTGCAATAAATATGGAAAGATATTGCCTGTGAGGTGAAATGGTTGAAATGTGTTCTTTTACTCATAAGCCAGGGGAATCCAAACCTCCAAGCTATTTTCTATGTAAATAAAGAAAATGAAACTCATCCGCTTAATTAAAAGACTCACAGCCGCAACCCAGAATTTGTTTTCCACGGTGCTTTCTGTTTGACATGGTGTGAAGGTGCTTGGAGACTTTCTCGTCAGTAAACTTAAATCTCACTTGAGGAAAATTCTCTTTTCCTAGAACTTTTGAGGGAAAAAAGTAAAATACAAACATTCCTTATATGCTCAGCTGACTAAGTAAAGTATCCAATTCTCTATGGAAGATGCTAAAGATTTTGAGAAAATGAAAAAGTAGTACAACTGTGTAATGGCAAGGCAAAATAGATTTTGTAGGACTGATATGGGCACCTTTTAAATACATTTAATAGATGAAAAAAGGCAAATTGGAAAATAAGCTTTAATTTAATATGAGATTTTTAATCCCCTTCTTTTTCAAGGGAAGGGCTCTGTTTTCCTTAAATACTACTATGTAGACTTTTTTTTTCTATAAAGGGGTCTGAAAAATCTTAAAACTATTTCAATTATTAAAATTGCTACAAATAAAAGTATATGACACGGCACAACCTGCGGCAACCGGAATGAAGTGAAAAAAGAAAAAGACCTTTAAAAAAAAATTATTGAAGGAAAGTATTAAAATTTAAAGATGCCCAAAGTCGCCACTTTCCTTCATGAGCAGCCATTTTGTACATCCAACCTGTCATCAGATGCTTATATCAAGACTTCTAAAAAAGTGGATCGGAATATAATCCTGCTCTCAGAATGAATCTCTCCAGGTTTGCTAGGAAACCAAAAATGACGGTCATGGTAAGAACCCTTGCAGCATTGCCCTGTGAGGAGCAGAAAGACCCCACACCCACCCACACCCACCCCGATAATGCTCAAATTACATTATTGGTCGAATCTCAGACGCTGAATAACAGAAGCCAACACTACGATAAGCTTTGCCTTTTACTTATATTGCTTTATAATTAGGTCAACGTCTGCAAAATTCCTGCCAGAATGTTCCATTAGCAAATGGATTATCTTGAAGTCTGATCAACAAAGTGCTTTTGAGTCCTTCCTGCAAATCTTGAGCCGAGTTAAATAAAAACGTGAAGAGCAAGATGAAGTGCCACCAAAGACCGAAGTCTTGCGGCATCAGGAATTCTCTCACAGTTCCACTGTCCGCAACATCTGGGTGCTACAGAAAACATCTGGGACATTTAAGCCTAAAGAACAATTTCCAGAAACCTGTGAGATGCACCACTGTGACTTCACTGCTGCTTTTCTTCTTAGTTGGTACCATGCCTGTTGCTGCTCCAGCCAGAATCAACATAGCAGGCATCATTAGGAGCAGTAGCATCCACTGTTTTGCTGAGGTGGCCAATTTTGCTGCTAAGGCCTGGTTCTTCATAACCTGAGAAGTTGAAGATCTTTTTCATAGGATTGACCTTTTTTCACATGGGACTTTTCAGGTCTTCCAGGTTATAAGTACTGCTACTTCATTCATCGCAGTCTGATAGGACAGCCATGTTAACAGGTACAGCGGTAGCAAACTCATTCTTCCCTACTTCACAGGCACTTACCTGTATCTGTAAGCCACATACACTGTAAGCCACCACAGCATCTCCAGCGAATCTCCAGGTTGACTCTAGATCTTCCGCCATCTTAGGAATTTCCAGACTTAGCGTGGGTGTGTTCTTCACCGTTACAACTGAAGTTAATGACAAGTGAGAAAGTGTCTCTCTCTCTTCGCCCTGGTATTGGACTGCGCCTGGAAAACTCTGCCTGGTTCTGGTCACCGCAGTACAAAGTAAGGGTGCTGAGGAGAACATCAGAGGAGTAAGGAACTCAGAAGCTAAATCCTATGAAGAGCAATTACAGGAAGCTGGCATGTCTAGTTTGAAGAAGAGAAGGACCGGGAGAGGCACGATAACAGCTTCCCAATACCTGAAGGGCTCTCACAGGGGAGAGAGAGAGCAGAGGCCTCCCCAGCATCTGAGCACAAGGCAAGAAGCAATAGGTGGAAGCTTCACAGTGAACGATCCAAAATTTAAACTTGGGAGGAATTTCCTGGCTTTCAGAGCTATTAATCAATGGAACTAGCCCCACTCCCTGCCACCTAAAGCTGCAGGGTTGGGGGCTCCATCTCTGGAGGTTTTCAAGAAAAGCCTGGACAGCCATTGGTCCAGGGTGGCTTGTGGATTCCTGCCCTGGATGTGGGTTGGATTAGGAAACCTCCAAAGTCCCATCTGTGAAAGTATTATTTCAACCACTTTTTTCTCTTTTTTTTTTGCATTCCTATTTTGAAAGCTCGAAATTTGATCCAAAGGTGTTTTTCTCCTGTTCAAGAGGCAAGTGGACTTCCTTTGTTTTTCCTTGGAGACAATTTCACTTCTTATGCAAGAAGTGTCTCCAGTTCTCAAGAAGCTTCTCCTCCTCCTCACCGAAGACGCTTCTTGGGTGAAACAAAGGACATTGTCCAGTTGCCTCTTGAAACAATAAAGCACCTTTGGGGCAGCCCCGACTTGGATGATGGAGAATCTCCACAGACCTGTCGAAATCTGACTTTGTTTTTTCCTTAAAATCTAGTGTTCTTTTCTACCCAACAGAATTAGGGAGATGCTACCCTTTAGAGTGCCACTATCCCTTCCTACTCCACATTTCAAGAGTGGGTTTGAGAAGTGAGAGTGGGCGCCCCAATCTCTTTTGCTACCTCTGGCCTCTATTAGCGAAGAGTCTCTTAAGAGGCATCCTTCTTCCGCTTCTCAAGCCATCACCGTTTCTCCTTCCAGGCAAATTGCATTTATACGTCGGCCATTGCAATGCATTTCGTTTTGTGCGAAATCAAATCAAGTCACGTTAAGTTCAGATGGCTGGAAGGCAGTTTAAAACATGCTGGATATAAAAGCATGTGCTGTCTTAATGGCTAAAAATAGTTATGTTTACAGGTGTTCTAGAATTTTATGAGGGTATTTCTTTTCCTCTAAGCTTTGAAATGCAACAAGGAAACGTGTTTTCTTGCACAGTGAAATGGCTGAAGAACAAAATCTCTTTTCTTTTCTTAATCAGAAAAAAAAAATCATGCAGAAAGGGTGGCCCAAGTGGTGGCAGACTTACTTTTGTCTTATTTTCGCCTGTAAAATATAGAAACCGCCTCCTTCCCTTGCAAGGTGTTACATAGCAAAAAGCTCAAAAAAATAAATAAAAAGAATGCAAAAGCACCCCTTGCACCACATGGAAAAATAGATAGTAAAGTAATAAAGCATTTAAAAAATTCAAAGTTTGTACTTACTACTTAAAACGGAACAAGAAAGGAACCCCTGTGACTCAATTCCACAGTCGAATAAGAAGGGCCCCTAATGAAGAGCCCCTCTGCAGTGTGTTCCAACAATCCCTTTAGAGGAGCGGGATATCGCCTGGAGTCCCGGCAGGGGCCCTGAGATGTGTTAGGCAGAACCAATTGGATACAGGTAATCTGGGCAAAGTACATTTGGGGCACAGACAAAAGACCCACCATATAGCATTCTGGTGTGGACTTGGACCTCTCCTTAAACTAACATTCACGACTTGGCTCCCTGCAAATGTTCTCTGGGTCAAAAGCCCTGTGAGTCTTCCAGGGATTTGGGGTTCAAAAGGCTTGGACGGCAGGTGCAGCAAGTGTTAAGGGGGCGTTGATCAGATCAACTCTTAAGAGCCGTGGACTTCAGTTCTCAGGATTCCTGGCTGGCCCCTGGGGAAGACGGACGGACGGACGGGGATTGGAAGCCCTCAAGCCATGAGCCAAGTCCAGCCTCTGCAGGGCCTTGGCCTGTACCAGGAGGCTGGCGGGAGGGCAGAGCCTGGGGAAGTTGCGACAGGGACTTATTCTGAAGTGGGCCTGGAGAAAGGCGGCTTCCTTTTGCTCGGCTTGGTTGCTTTCCGGTGATGGTCCTCTCTCCTTGCTTCTTTGCAGATTGTTTGAGGGCCGATCTCCCAGGAAGCCTGAGAAGCTGAAAACCCTCTTTTGCTACTTCCGGAGAGTCACCGAAAAAAGTAAAGTGGCTCACCTCCTCCCCTTTTCTCTCCCGTGGTGGTGGGGGAGCGCTATGACCTTTGAACTGCCTGGCCTCAGGACTGGCAGGTCGTGAGGAGGACTTGGGAGGGGGGGAGCTGCCAGACAGCCCTTCCTCCCCCTGAGCCCGGGGGGGGGGGCTGAGGACTTGGGCGGAGGAGGAGCAGGAGGAGGAGGGTAAAGAAAAGACGGGAAGGCGTCGGGAGCCAGGGAGCGGGTCCCTTCTCTGCCACGCTGACATCCCCTGGGGAGCTCTTGGGAACGCAGGCGTGGAAAGACGGACCCCGCGCAGGGGGTCCTCGCTCTACGGCTGCAGGGGGAGTTTTGCCCCATTTTATGACCTTCCTTGCCCCCATCGTTAAGTGAATCCCTGCAGTTCTTTAGTATGCATCTCAATGGTTAAGGGAATCCGGCTTCCCCAGCGCCAAAGAGCCCTGTGACTGTCATAAATAGGAGTCGGTTGCCAAGCGCCAGGATTTTGATCACGTGACCATGGGGGTGGGGGGGCCCTGCAAGACGGTCCTAACTCACTTTTTCCGGGCCGTTGTAGCTTGGAATGGCCACTGAATGAGCTGAACAGGCAGCCCTGGACTTACCAGACATTTGCTTAGTTACAGTTCACAGTCCCAATGGCGCTGAAAAGGAGAGAGTTACGACCATTGCATCAGCCCCACGATCGGAATCCAGGCGCTTGGCAGCCGGTTCCTCCTTACGACGGTTGCCACCTCTCCTGGGTTCCCGGGTCCCCTTGGATGGCCTCCTGGCATGGAGAGTCCCTGGGGAATCCGGGTTCCCTTATCAACCCTGTCGCTAACTGAACAACGGCAGCGATTCACTTAACGACGGAGGGCCAGAAAGTTTGTAAGACCGGGGGGGGGGGGAGGGGGGGGGACAGTCACTGAGCAACTCTCCGACTTGGCCATGGTGGGAGTGGGGAACTCAGGGGGGCCAGAAGTCGGGAGCTGCCTGCCTGCCTGCCTGCCATGAACCGACTTGAGTTGAGTCGGGTTCCTCGACCGATGTGGGCAGCCGGTCCCTTCCCCTGCCGCCCTGGGGTGGAGGTTGCGGGGGGTGGGATCTGAATGCTGCCTTGCCTGCTGGAACTTAGCCTTCAGTCCCTTCCCCCCCACCCAGTAGAGGCAGGGAAGCGTTTCCATGCCCTCCTCTGGCAGGTGGTTGGAGTGGCTCCTCTCCGTCCCTGGTGGACGTGGAAGTGGAACTGCATTCAGGATCCCCCCCCCACCTGCCCTACCCCCCTTCCCAGGAGAGAACCGGGAGGGAATCTCCCCAAAAGCTTTGCTCCATCTGGTGCAGGGAGGCACTGGCAGGGTGGGGGGGAACGGGACAACGACACTAATATTTATCTGTTTCCGTCTGTTTGCTTATAAGGACCCACTGGACTTGTGACATTTACCAGACAGTGTCTGCAGGAATTTCCAGAATGGGAAAGGTAAGTCAAATAAAAACTGTCCTTATTGATATTTGTTTCAACTCATGACAGTGAAAGCTCCGCCAGAATCAGATTCAAAATGCAAATTCAAACAAAGAGCGTTACAAGTTAAAAGTAATATCTTGTTGTATAATTAGTAAGCAAAGTAGCAACGTATTTCCAATCTGAATCTTACTTCAGGGTTGTTACCAGCCAGGAACGAACAACATAAAAAGAAATAAGATTGCCCAAATAACTTCAAAAGAATGGGCATAACAAGTGCTTAAAGATATATAAGGGCAGTTGATTCCACCTGTCTAGAACCATATAGATCAGGGCTGCCCAGCCTTGGCAACGTTAAGACCTGTGGACTTCAACCAGCTATGCTAAGCTGGGGAGTTCTGGGAGTTGAAGTCCACAGGTCTTAATGTTGCCAAGGCTGGGCACCCTAATATGGACAAGACCATTGAGAGGGAAGAAAGTTTATACATCAGCCCTGGGCAGCCACTGGGGGCTTCCCATCGAGGCATGGTAGCATGGGTGCCTTCCCCAATTGGGCCCAATGAAATTCACATTCATAGTTTGCCGACTCGCCTCCAAATGAGGGGGCAGGTTTCGGAGGCTGGCAGTTCCACCCAAATCCTCATGATGCAACTTTGGGGATAGGGGTGGAAGCAAAAAAAAAAAAAGACCCAGCACAGCCTGGGTAGAAAACCTGCAGGCAGCACAGCCTGTTCTCTGTACAGATTCCCTTCCATTTGGGGACTTCCGTCAGCTGCAGAGGTGACAGCTGCTTTACTGATGGACCCAGAGCGCATTCAGATGAGGACCAACACCAACAACCCCACCCCCCCGCATGTTGCTTTCATGTGCTTCTTTTTACAGGTCTCCGAAAAAGATGCCCAGGTTGCATGTCACCTACGAAGGGACGATTGAGAGCAACGGGCAGGGAATGCTCCAGGTACGCCTAGAATCTGTACACGCCTACAAATCGGCTCTGCACTGTGTTGTGTCAAAGCTATATCACACATCACATCACAACATGCCCATCGGCCCAGCTTCCCGTCTTGACAAAAGGCCTTTTTGACTGACAGTCAGAAGACCTGGAAGGAGCTTAGGGTTTGGGTTTTTTTGTTTTTTTTTCCAGGTCAGGTGAAGATTGACAAGCGCTCGGAGAGGGGTGGGGGCGCAGGGCAGGGGAGTGACAGGCTGCCAATTTTTCAGTTTTTGCCCTTTTGAAACAAAAATAATAATAAAAAAATTTGAGAGCAGTATTTCTATGCCCTGACTGGTGACCAGCTCAGCAAGTTCAGGAAGCTTCCCCTGCTGTGGGAGGAATAATTTTGACCTGAAAACCAGTCAGCCAGAACCGTTTGATAAGGAGCCTGTCTCGTCCCTAATCCTTAGGCATTGTTTGTATATTTGCAAGCCGGAGAGAGAAGAATGGGGAAGTGTGTGAAGTACTCTGACCTACATCTGTTGTTTGTTCTCTTCCGCTTTGAACCCAAATAAATAAATAAGTGTTCCGAGTATCCTTTTATTTTCCTTAAACATTTGGGCATGCTCATCCTATTCAGAGCAAGTGGTGAACACGCTGGACTAAGACTGGATAAATCAAGGTTCAGGTCTGCATTTAACCCTAAAATCTCACCACGGAGCAGCCACTTCCTCTATCTTGGTGTAAACTGTTGTTTCTCCACCTTGGCAATGGAAAACCTGTGGACTTCTGAATTCTGGGAATTGAAGTCCACGCGTGTCTAAAGATGCCAAGGCTGAGGAACATCAATCTAAGCAGCCTTGTGGGATTATCATTGTGGGGAATAAAGTGGGATCTTCTTCATAACAAACATCTTGAATCCTGAAAAAAAGACAGGCTGTAAATGTAAGTTGTGAACAACAAGCAAACCAATTACGGTAAATAAATTTTGGATGCAGCTCAAAATTCTCCCTCTCCAAAAGCACCCCAAAGGGTTACGGGTGTTTCTTTTTTAATGGTTATGTTTGACTTTAGTTGTTTTTAAGGGGGTTGTGATTGTGACATGCACTTTATAAACCAAAATAGTAAGTCTGTAGTTGAGGGCATTTGCAAAGAGACAACATTCGTTCGATTAAGAAGATTGTGCATCACATATCCTGGAGTTAGAGAAGCAACTGAAATAAACGGCATAAAAGTATGAGGAAATTTGTCTCCTATGCAGCCTCATGAAAATACCCCAACGTCCTCCAGACTGGAGAATATGCAGAAACATACTGTGTGGATGTAGTGCCAGAAGCCATCTTGATGCCAGTTTTTAGTTACCACTTAACTAAATTGGTTCAGTGGCGGATGGTCATAAATTTGATGAAGAGGTTCTTAGAAAATGGCCGGCCATTTGTGCTCAAACGATGTTTTTTATGGGTTTTAATTTTGATTAGTGTACTTTGAGTACTGCTGCAGTGTACAAAATAAATGTAGTTAAGCCATAAGTCCATGTCTTTGCTGTGGACGGCCACCCCCTTCAGGAGGGGCTCAGTTGTGCTCAGGGGGGAGGGAAGACCACGGCCCGTAGGGGCCCAGATTACTTGAGGGGCCCTCTCACCCCACTGGGGTTGGTCCACCCCATTCGTGCCGACAGAGGAGGAGGGGGACTGCTGAGGGTCCTGCAAGGCCGATTATTCTGACTGGCAGGGTCCTTTTCTGCTGTGGCTCTGGAACATCTCCCACACACCCCTCCGATGTGAGGTTGGCCCCAATCCTCCCATCTTTTTGTAAGGGCCCAAAGTTGTGGCTGCGTCCACTGGCTTGGGACCCCAGTGGAGGGACAGCGCAGTGGCGAGGGTTGATTGAATAATAACAGATCCCACCCTATTATGGTAAGAGGGGTGGCCAGTAAGCTTAATTGATAAAATAAAACCTTTGTCTTCAGCTGTTGGTCTTTCATACCTTAAGTCTCTGAGGCTGTAAAAGTTCTAACTGCAGGATCCATTTTCCAGCTGAGGCCGGTGTGTGGTGGTGGGGTTTTTTGTTTTGTTTTACTTGAAATAATAAAGCAGTTTTCCAGTAATGTAATTTTGTAAATTAAATGTGCATTAACATCAACATGCCTGTTGATCATGTTACCTGTTGATCATGAAGCAGCCGCTCAAAAACTGTAGCTCTGTGGGAAGAGGAATGAAAAATACATCCGGCTGCATTGTAGTGTTTTAGTACATTTACTTTTGACTGCATCCAGAACATTTTCACCCGAGAGCTGGCATCGCCAGTCCTGTTTCGACTTGCCAGATTTCTGATCCTGAATAAACAAAGCAAATGGCCTTGCTGGGACATACTGTAGCCAGACTAAATATTTGAAAGATAATATTGGTTTTTAATGGTTGGGTATTTTGAGCAACGACGCTTCAGAGGCAAATATTCAGAAATGTAACGTTCAACGTATCTTGTCAGGTTGACTTTGCCAACCGCTTTGTCGGAGGGGGCGTTACTGGTGCAGGATTGGTGCAAGAAGAAATCCGCTTCTTAATCAACCCAGAATTGATTGTCTCTCGTCTCATTACGGAGGTCCTGGATCACAACGAGTGTCTGATCATCACAGGTGTGTCACGGGGCCCCATTCCTGTGGATTCCAGAACCCAGCTGAGATCCACAGGCGCAAGGTTAGAGGGCGAGTCCAGGCGGACCAGGCTGTAGAATTGGGACCATACAATGAGGTCTGGAATGGTCTTGGTGGTGGGGGCTCCTTGGTGCGCTCTGAGCCTGGTAGTAGTAATGAACATCAGTGCTAGAGGATGTTACTGAGTTTGGGTAATGAAACCTCTCCAAGAGCACCGAGGAAGAGCCCTCATTTCAACCCTGAGCTACAAATATTCTCCTTTATTAGTTTTTGTTGTATTGCAAAAAATGAAGGGCCTCGCCTGTTATTTTTCTACAGTGTGGGATTCCTTAGCCATATTTTTCAGAGATAACTAGCTTTTCCTTTCCGCAATCAGGCAAACATTTAAAAAGAGCAGTTATCTAGATTCACAGTTCACTTTGAAGATGTTGGTGCTATTATTTCCCTCATTTTGTTCCCATCTTTAGTTTGGGTCTTCTTGGTAATTCATAGAATTTCTGGTCCTTCTGTAAAAGAGTTTTCTTGGGAAAGCCGAGGTCAACTGGAAATCTTTATCCACGTAACAGTTGGTTAATTAAAGAGCAGAACCATAAGAAATCACCTTTGCTGCAAGATTTAGCTTTCTTTAAAACTGACCAATCAATTCATGAGTCCTAGAAGAGAAATCCTCTATGGATTAGACAAAAATTGATTGCTTATCCTGAATGATGAAAGAAGCGGATAGTTTCTCGGTTTACCAGAACAGAATCCTGCCATTTTTAGCAGGGCCATTCCTGTAGCATTTTGCAGCTTTTAGCCTCTAATGCATATGGTGATTTAATTTTGAGGATCGATTTAGAAAATGGAATCTCATTTCCCATTGTTTGGCAAGGGCCTGTGGTTTTTATTAGAGGCTGAGTATGTCACAGCGACTTTTCCTGTGTGAGCTATTGAATAAGAAATATGACAATCTTTCAAAACAGTCTAGAGGTTGTTACTTAAGTGGATTCGTGGCTGTGGGGTTTTTGCAAGAAATTTGCAGAAAGATGTTCTCAGTAACTGCTAAATAACTCTCGTATAGATGCTTCGGTTTGCTTGGAAAATAAATTCCATTTTTAAAAAGCAGTGGCACTGAAAGTTGACAAATTAGTTTGAAGAAGTAAACAGAAAATGGAAAACAAGTGAGAAAATAACTGGTTGTGCTTACATTGATTTGAAGATACTGTTAATAGGACAATGAATAAATGAATCAATTGCCCATAGAGTTAAAGTGTTGCTTAAACATAAGTAAAATTGATAGGCTTTAATAGGATTCAAATGACAATGAACGTGTGTGTGATTGAGAGTACTTTATAATTATAATTTCATCATTAATCTGTATGAAAATCTTCCCAATGGGAAGTAAAGTCAGTTTTGGCTGAGGTAGCGACTAGAGAATAATCTCGTGATCTTTATGAATTATTTGTTAAATGTCAGTATTGTTTGCATATTAGGACCTGAAGATCCTGCAAAGCTTGGTAGAGAAGGATTAAAAACTATTCTTGTGGGTAAATCAAACATTTTTGGTCCCTACATCCAAAAAGTGACGCTTCTAAGATGCAAACCAAAGTAAAATTCTTTTTCAAAGTCCTTTAGTTATTCTGGTGTTTTCTAATGAATATCTGTCATGCAGTGTTCTGCTCTCTTAATGGAAAATACCACTTCATCTTCCTCATTAGATCTCTGGCTGGCTTTCACCTCTGCTTAAGCAGGCTTTTGCTGTGTGCAGCTATCTGTCTGGTAGATTACATTTTTTCAATGATGTATCTTGACTCAGCGGCCTAATGGATAGGACTTCTGCTGCTGAACTTTGCAGAAGAGACTGAGGAATGGCAAAGAAATTAAATTTGTTGTAATTGTCTGGCATCTGCTTGAGATCTTCCCAGTAACAAATATGAGATCAGTCATGCAAAACAACAACAACAACACAAATAGATCTCTTTCCTAACCCACCAATGAATCAAAAGGACCTCATGATCAAATAATTGTACTCTTGAGATGTTTTGTTTCTTGCTTTGATAGCTGCAGACAGAATGTGAACATTAATAAATCCGAGTGTTTCATTTATATAACTCTAAAATTTAAAATTAATACAATAGGAAGCTTTTATGAATATGGTGGATTTCCAGGGGGTGTTTTTCCCTATACCGAGTCAGCTGACTGTAAGAGCTGGGAAAATTGGGAAAACGTTGTCTGCTTTGACAGCTCAAAAAGAGGTCTTCCCGTGGGCCTTTCCGAGCATTTCCAAAGAGCCCCTTCAAGCAATTGGCTGAGTCAATGCATCGGACCCAAGTGCATTTGGGGGGGGGTGGGGGGGGCAGGAAGAGAAACTCAGTCTGCTGAGAAACAGTCTTGTGTGGATTTAAATAATTCTAGTTCCAAATGGTGCTGTTGGCGAGGGAATTCTGGGAGTTGAAGTCTACACATCTTTGAATTGAAACACTGATTTAGAATGTGCTCCGTTTCTCCGCCTTCTCCTTTTGCATCGATCTTCTGCGTGTCCGTTTTTCAATATTATCCCATCCAGGATCCAGAAAGTGAATGTTTATCCAGAGAATAAAGGAAAATGCTCATCTGAAAACGAGTGCTTTCATGCCATGATTTTATGTTTTCATTCAGGGACTGAACAGTACAGTGAATATACTGGCTATGCAGAAACCTACCAGTGGGCCAGGAGCCATGAAGATGACAGGCCCAGGTAAAATTCTGACCTTCCAAATTAACTTTAAATCATAGGGTTGGTATTGACATGATTTTGGGGAGATCTGCAACAGAAAGGAGGTATTCTTCAGAAATCCAGGCCATCGTTTCCTCCAAGCAGGACACTCTCGCTCTTCTCTCTTTCATTTCATTCATTTGGTTTCTATATCCTCCCCCTCCTTTCCATCAAACACCCGGGTGGGTTATAATTAGAAAAATATTACTAATAAAAATACTAAAGAAACATTTTAAAATAGTAAAGAATTTATTCATGGGTTGGGCCATTCTGATCTCCAAAGGAAGGAGTCATCGTTGTCTTATTCCTTCTCCTACACTACATTCTACACCTACTAATTGCTTACCATTGTTTGGACACTTCACCTCTCTCTAAAAACAAATCCTGTGAAATCCCGGTTACGCTAGAAGCCCCTCCTTTGGGCTCTGGGTTCCTTGGACTTGAGAATGTGGGGAGGGACCATCAGGATCCTGTTGTTTTTCCACAACTCCCCAGTGGAACTTGAGTTTGAGCGGAACTTCCATTGTCAGGTGTTTCCAGGAGGAAGCTCAAGGACCACGAAAAGGTTGGGAGAACCCAGGGCCCGTCTGAGAGCCACTTGCGAAGAGCTGAGAAAGATATAACTGGTCCTCAAGAACGATGGGCGGGGCAGGGCAGAGAAAGAGTCTCAGGACATGTGGAATTAGCAGGTGGAGTACGTGTCATAAAATGGAGGCCATTCAAAAACCAGTTGGGGAACACTGTAGTCTTTAGCTGACGAATCCTGTGGGGTTGTTTGGATTTTTATGTTTATTTTAAGTTAGTTTCATTTCATTACATTGCACCAGTCAACAAAACAAAAATGCAACAGCATTAAAGGATCAACACACCGTAGTTTTAACACAGTATTTATGGATCATTGGTGGCTAAAAACAAAACAAGCAAAAGAAAGGACAATTCTTGGAAATTGTGCTAAAAACTGAACAGCTACAAAATCTTTGACCAGAATGCTCAAAAGTCTTATTTCTTACCTGTTTGTGGGGAAAAAAATTTGACAAATAAAACGAAACATTCGCAGCTGCAAGCCACAGCTGGATTTCTCCTTCCTGTGCTGTGTAATTCTTTTCATTAATCTTCATGGTCCCAAGTTTATATTTTGACAGGTTCCCAACGCTGAGACTATAACCAAGAAGAACACGCCTGCCTGCCTTTACCCCCCAAAATATTTTTTTATTTAATTTTTTAAAGAAAAATCTTAATGTGTGGGGGGGGGAAATGGCTAATTTTCACACTTGTAAAAAAGTCTGACCTCCCTCTGGAACCGTTTCCATCATATCTATTAGGGTTTTTTTCCCCTCCCTAAATGGAAATGGGGTAATTAGGGCCAGTCTGACCCAGCCTAGGCCTGGGAGGTTTTGAATAATCAGTAATGTCCAGGGTTCATTATAAACACGCAGATGGTGGACCAAGATTTGACGGCTCTACCTGAAATTTAGAACTTCAGTGTAAAACAATGCTGAGGAAAAAAAGAATTTATTCCTTGAATTGGACCCGTGGCATTCCCGTTACCGTGATAATCTACATAGCAGATTAGCAATTAGTGGGTGTGGTTGACAATCCTGGAGTTCCTTAAGAGTGTGGCAGATTTGACGTTCTTGTCATGAAATATATTTAGGAGACAAAATATCTTGTCTTCTCCCTTCTCATCTGCCTTCTCCAATTTTTAATGCAGATTATCAGTAATCTAGTTGACCATTGCCTTTTCCTAATGCTTGTTTCTGTGCTCTGAGGCTTCGGTTAATCCCTTGAGAGATGAACACAGATCTGTCTTGTTTATATGGCTAAGCTTATACCAGTTAGCATTACAATATTCTCTCTCCCTCTCCCTCCCCTTTTGCCAGGGATGAATGGCAGAGACGCTGCACGGAAATTGTGGCTATAGATGCTTTTCATTTCAGACGTTTTCTGGATCAGTTTGCTCCGGAGAAAATTAGAAGGGAGTTGAACAAGGCCAGTAACTTCTAAATAATCCCTCTTGCCCTGTCAGGTTTCCCCCGCTTCTTCTTTTCGGCTGTGCCTTTAATATTAAAAAAACCCCACCCACTCGTAATTGTGGCATGGCCTTGGGAAAGCGAGCCTGCCCAGGGCTGTGAGCTTCTTGTCTGCCCGCAGGCGTTCTGTGGTTTCTCTCGGCCTGGTGTCCCTCCGCATCACCTTCCAGCAGTCGCGACAGGAAACTGGGGCTGCGGTGCTTTTGGAGGAGATTCCAGACTGAAAGGTAAATGGGACTCTCCTTGCGCCTAAACCTCAGGGGGCTTTTGGGTTGCCGTGACCATTTGCCGTTTCTGCAGTTTCTTCAGGCGAGAGGGATGAAGAGCCCAAAGAGAGCAGGCGAAGGCTGCGATCCCCTTCTTTCTTCTGGGCTGCAGGACCCGAGGAACCGAAGGCGGGATGGGAGGAAGGACTCGGGGAAAGCCACGTCTCTCCACGCAAGAGGGAAGGGCGTGGTTTGGTCGTGTGCTTGGTCTTCCCTAGGTTGTCTAGACCAGGGGTGTCAAACTCGGTCTCATGGAGGGCCGCATCAGAGTTGTGCTTGACCTTGGGGAGGCCTGGGGTGGGCGTGGCCAGCTTGACCTCATTCATGTTGGGGGAACCTGTGATAGACCGGACTGGGCTGGGCTGGGGGGGTCCATTGTCTCCAGCAGATGAAAGTGAGACCAGGGAGAGCGCCAAACCCTTGTCCTCCAGAGGAGCCTTGGCGTTTGCTGGTGGACAAGTACTAAGGCAGGACTTCCCTCCCTCCCTCCCTCCCTCCCTCCCTCCCTCCCTCCCT